CGCTGGGAGCCACCGATCCAGTACAACGACAGACTGATCGGATACGCTGATCCGTTACCCAGCGCCGTTATGGACACACCATGATCCAATACCTACAGCTTCCGCATCATGAGCATGACGGTGTTTCTTCGGTGTCCTCCCATCCGCCCACGGGCTGCCACGGGTTGACACGAGTTTTCCTAAATAGCTGTCACCCCGCCACCGCCCAAACGATCAAGAGCATCACGACCATAGCGGTTTTGCTTCGGTGTTTTTCTAGACGCCCACGGGTTGACACGAGTATTCCTAAATAGCTTCCACCCCGCCACCGCTCTAACGATCAAGAGCATCATGACCATATCGTTCGGCTTTGCCACTGTACTGCAGTCAGCAACGGTTTTGTGGCGCTTGTCCTTCCTGCCATCCCTGCTGCCAGGCTTCTTCTTGATGCCTGGTCAAAACCGAAGACTCTTCAGTTCAAGTCTCAACTTTTGGATCTCCTTGCCGGCACGCGAACCATACGTGCACACACGATGGTCGCATGCTCCGCACGCTACGCACCGGTGAACCTGCTTGCCCCCATTGCGCCCCTTCACGAGCGCGCGCTTCATGGCCCCCTACTCCTGCAGCCGATATGGCAATGTGATATCCTGAGATAGCATGATCATGAACCTTCAACTCGGCAATGACAACTTGTAATTGTTAGTTACAAGTTAATGATCGTGCCCAAAAAACCCTCAAAATCAGCAAAGGCAACTGCGAGATACGACTATCGAGAACTACTGCAAACTACAGTACTTAAGGCCTCCGCATGCTGAAAAAACAAACCGTCACGAACGTGACCCGCGCGTCGTAGTAGTAGTAGTAGTAGTAGTAGCAGTAGTAGTAGTAGTAGTATCAGGAGTAGGAGGAGGAGGGGTAGTTGTGGCCCTGAACCCGAGGACCCTACACCTCGCCACTGAAAAACCAGGTTGCTGTTAAGGAACGAAGCTTAAGTTTCTATAGCAAGGAAACACCATTATTGACCATATATATATATATACCCATTATGGCATCTTAAACCCTCGACCCTCAACCCTAAACCTTGTTTTATGTTCACTTGATTTATGTTACCGAAAACAGCAACCCAGATAATCTTTAAACGCAGAGCTCCGGTCAAGGGCCCAGGCCATCTCAGCGATACCCTGCTCCTTCTGGAGGATGAGATCAGCTGTCTCCTGGTGCATGTCACTTTTGGTGTAGGGTTTAGGATTAGGGCTTAGATTCAGGGGTAGTGGATTTAGGATCAGGGCATACGGTCTTGGGTCTAGAGAATGACTTATGAGGTCAGGCGTTTAGGGGAAGGCCAATGCTCCCACATGGGCGTGCCACAAAATATTGCCCCAGATAGGTACCGCTGTAAGTCCGGTCTTGTTCTATCGTACACCTAGGGTCACCATCGGCCCCGCATATCATGAAGAACACTCAATAGGGGATTATATATGACTGTAATAAGGTGGGCACACATCCAAACATCATCATCATCATCATCATCGTCATCATCATCTGCCTCGCAGCTGGCTCCACGGAAGTGGGGTCTCTGGTACTGAGAAGCTAGCTGCTCATTCTGAATTTCTGGCTACTGCCAGACTGCCAGTATGCTGTAAATCAGATCTTCTGCCAAACTCTGTAGTATCTCTGCTGCACGCAGCGAAACCAGAAACTCTGTCTTCCGCATCTTGTCAATGTGTCACATTTCCGACTTGCTGTTACGGGGTCAGCTCAAACTTGCTGTCTAGAGCCTTATACTGCTTGGCACGCAACCAACGATCCGCAACAGGAAAAGCTACCCAATAAGCTGGTGTGAAGCTGGAAGTCCCCTAGTTGTATGAAGTGGCTGCTGGGTGCACCCGGTGCATAACAGTTTGTAGCACCAACACTGACCTCGCTTCTGCTGCGCGTACTGATGAGTATGACTCCATTCTGCCCTACCGTCATCATTGTGTCCCAAACCCTAAACCCTACAGTAGTTTCCATTTTCTGTTCCATTATCCCTATATAACCCCAATACCCTAAACCCTAAACCCTATATAACCAAGTTACAATAAACCTACAGCTGCTTTTCAAGGATTTGGCGAACTTCCAAGTTGACTCCAAGGATATTCCCAGGAATTAAGCCCTAAAGGCTTCAGGGGCCTCTTGCGCGACAGCCCTCCAAGAGGGTTTGCAAAAGGGTAACCCAGCAGTCCTACAGGGTTTAGGGCTAAGAGTTTGGCTTGGGATTTGAAGCTCACTCATCCAAGCCTAGACCCAACTAATCTATTTGGGCCCGAGGTGCCCTGTGTGACTATCGTTTGAAATAGACCTCAAGATGCTCCTGGTAATTTGGTAGCTATCCCTATATAGCCCCTGTAACATCCCGGCTTCAGTTGTGAATTCCTTGTCCATTCCGTTCCCTTTTCTGTTTGGCTCTCCACTATCGGGGTAATACCCCAAACCCCATATAAACCTATGAAAACATACGTTCCCCGTAAATAATCATAACATAACCCTACACCCTAGACCCTAAAGCCCTAAACGCTTATCCCAATATACTGACAGTCCTAAACGCTTATCCCAATATACTGACAGTCTCCTTCATATGCATGTCGATGTCGAGCTGAAGATCTGGCGGGTGCAAGGCTGCCAGACTTGGAGGGTCAGGGGGACTTAGGAAGTAGGTTAGGGTTTCGGGTTTAGGGTTTTAGGGTTTTAGGAGTTTGGGGTTCAGGGTTTAGGGTTTTAGGGTAGGGGTTTAGGGTTTTAGGGGTTTAGGGTTTAGGGTTTAGGGTGTAGGTTGACATGTTAAAGCATCAATGATCCACTGACAAACCACCAGACACTGATTTAGGACCAACTACACAAGGGAAGTTTCCACACCGGGCACCTTATATAACGGGTGCATCAAAGGTATTTCTATAAGGGGCAAATGAAGCTTATGTCCTCTACATGGTAACTCCCCTCCTGCAACTGCCTTGAACAAAAGCTCTAACACCTGAACCCTAAGGGTTTAGAGTTTGGGGTATTGGCCTTTCAGGACGTAGGCTAGGCCACCACAAGGGTTCATGGTCGTCCCTCCTACTACACCACTAGTACTGAGGTGGGGCCTACCCCAACTGTCAACGGTCTCGGAGCACGACCCCACGATCGATTTCACAACTAACCCTTGTACAGAACTTTGACTTCCTGATGAAGAAGTTGCAGCCAAGAGTGCTGGAGCATGACCAATTCCCCCAGACCCAGATGCAAGCCTACAAAATATCATGCCATTCCCGTGCTGTCGCAGTTTTATGCCCAAACCCCAAACCTCAAACCCTAAACTCCGTTTCTGGCCCCTAGTCTGTAGGCCAACAACCCCAGATGCTAACGCACGAGCCGTGAATCGAGTACCTCGGATTTGCCGCTTCTGCTTCTTGATCATCTCCTGGTGGCAGAGCGTTGAGAATTTTGGGCGGTTGGGGTTAAGGGGTCACTGTTGGATTTGATGGCTTAAGGGTTTGGGGATTTAGGGGCTTTGGACATTAGTGTTTGGGTAACCCAAAACCCCAAATCTGGACCGTGTGTAGGACTTGGGGGCTCGGGAAGTTAGAGTCGAGATCCGGCTTCTTCTAGTATGTTTATTTTTAAAGCTATGTTATAAACAGCCAAGGTTAAGGGCATATGGTAGCTGAATATGACTTCCTCAACACCGTATACAACCCTATCTTATCCCAGCTTGCATTTCAGTGTTCCATCTTTTTCGTTTGATTCTCAATTATTGGTCACAAGGTTCTCGAGCCACCTGTTCATCAGCATCGGCATCTGACTTGGGTGAGCCTTATGACATGACGGGCTCTTACAAAGCCCTACGAGATCACCCAGAAGTTTGGTTTGGAGGTTCTGATGGCCAATTGCGCCGTCATTTAGAAACCCATTCCATGGCACTAAGCTAAAGATGCTGTACAGCCTCGTACGGTATTGAGGTTGTTAAGAGTTGGGACGACGTTGATCCCAAACTTTAGGTGCAAATACTACAAACTTCGGAACGCGGAGAAACTGGTCCATCTTAAGAAGTGGCCCAGTAAAGCCGGTAAAAACAAAAGTCCTGACTATGGGAGCCCTCGAACAGAGCAAGCCTTTGCTTGAGGCGATGAATAATTTTCGCTAGATCCGGCCATTTGGAAAAAACTCTTCAATCTCGGAAACCCCGTACTACCCAGACCTCTCAACACCCATCCTAGACCCGAATCCCCAAGACCACGAAATTTGAACTTGAAACTGAAATCCCAACACTCCTTTGCAAAGACCTTAAGGCCTCTGCTCCAAACCAATTTCCTAACTCCTGAACACCCAATCGCAGCCGGGTTGTTTAGGGTGTAGGGTGTACAGGTTCGGGCTTAGGGCTTGGGGTCTGGGTTTGCGATTTAACCATACAGCGTAAACCCTAAACCCCAGAGCCTAAACCGCAAGCCGTAAACTGTCACCCTAAAGCCGAAACACCCTTAAGCCTAAACCCTAAGCCTTCAGCTCTAAACCCTAAAACCCTAAACCTTAAGCCCTAACCCTAAACGCCTAAACCTTAAGCCCTAAAGCATAAAAAAACTTAAGCCTATACCCTAACCAAAACCCTGCCTTGAGTTCGTGGGTCTGCTTGGTCAATTCCACATTCTCTTCCTGCAGGCCGCTTCGGGAAGGGTTCGAGTTTCGGCTTTGGTGGGGTTTTGAGTTTAGGGCAGAAGGGTCTAGGGATTGGGGCTGAGCATCTAGCATCTAGGGTTGACAGGTTTCATCTAGGAGGTCATTCGTTGTTGGGGTTGTAGGCGCTGTAATGCGCAGATGCATGGGTACGCAAGTTCATAGACATGATAAAACCATGAAGGCAGTTGCAGGTGCTGTTTCCTCAGCCCTTAAAAGTGTCAGACTTGCAAGACCCTGGTGTGCTCTACAATGGAATCGTGCAGAAACTGTAGGATGCAATCCAGTTGAAACTTAGGTTGTTTCCTACATGAGCTATAGTCTAAACTCCTAGTATCCCGCTTGATAACCCTTATAGTAGTCCCATATATAATCCCCTATATAACCCCCTTTAAGGAGTTTAGTCCAAACAACGTGGGGCCTTCTGTGGTTAGGCTGCTTTCTAGTGCAGCCTCCATGCTGTCTGAAGACTAGACCCTTCACCGCACAACCATGAACGCGGCGCTAAGGGTTTAGGGTTGAGGGCTTAGGGTCTCGATCTAAGGTTTTGAGTTGAGGGTTTAAGTTCGAACCCCGTTTCGGCCTTCAAGTACCAAGTGACCATATTAGAACCATGTCTGCACATGCGACATGTGGCACCTCTGTTGTAGGTGCAAACAGTACTGCAACCCTCATGATATAAGCGTGATCAAAGCTAGAAAGGCAGATTAAACAATAGGAACACCTCAGTATCTTGCGAGCTCAGTTGATGCTAAGAAACCCTGAGAATGCTGTCCTTGAGATCGCGTGCACGCCTCAGTGCCTCCGCAAGGCTTAGATTTCAAGGGCTTAGCTGTAGAGCTTCGGGTCTACAGGTTTGGAGGTATATGGGTTTGGGGGGCTTAGGGTGTAGGATTCTGCAGTTCAGGGCTTGATGTGTTCGATTCCTGGACTCGAAACTTGGAGCTTTGCGCATCTCTTTGGGTTTGAGGGCTTGAGGGTTGGTGAGAAACCTGATGCCAAGCCTTACTAAGTCCCTTGTATAATTGCTGTATAGGTACCTCAAACAGACATCAGCATGATGTTGATAAGTATTCAGGCCCCCAATGTTCTGCGAAACCCAGACCCCAAACCGCAAGCTCTGGACCCAAAACCCAACACACTTAAGGATCAGGGAGCCACGCGTAGTTACCCGGTCTCCAATACTCTGGGCTGCCCTTGGGGAACTTCAACCGAATCACCACATTAGTCACATCATCTTCCTAGGCTTTGGGTTTAGGCTTAAACCTCCCTATCCACTTGCCTTAAGTCCCTTTAGAGCAATCCCGTGAAGTCTTCCGGACCATAACATTCATAATCATTCAGGCAGCCCACATTACACATAATCCCCATACAGACAGAACGTCTTTTGTTCATGCCAGATTCCATTTAGTTTTCCATGTTCTTTTTCATGCAATTTTCCATTACTGCCTGGAAATGAAGCGCTAAACTCTAAACCCGAAACCATATTGCTTGAAAATGCTTCCTCTTCCGTTCAACCATGCCTGGTCACGGGGTTTGGTATTAGGGTTTAGGGTTTAGGGTTTTTTGGGGCTCAGGTTTTGGGGTTTGGGGCTTCTAGGGTCTTCATAAGCTCTGAGAGTCTGGGGCTGCTGGGGAACTCGATCATATGAAGCTCCCATGCCCAGAATGACAACGAGGTTAAGGTTGAGGATTCAGGGCTTAAGGTTCAGGTTTTTTGGGCTTAAGGTCTAGGATTTGGGGTTTAGGGTTTGGCGTTAGGATTTAAGGCTTTGGATTTGGGATTTGAAGTTTAAGGCTTTGGATAATACTAAACCCCCCCCCACCCCCCCAATTGGAAATACTCCCAGTATGTGGCATGTTATAATTTACTGAGAATATTCTTATATTATATAGGGATGGTGGAGGGATTCAATATTAGGGGGAGGGGATTAGTTTTCTAAAGCCCGTATTGAGCGAGGCTACTTGTCAAAGACGATGCCCAAAGTTGTGCTGTTGGATCAAACCTAAACCCCTAAACCCTAAACACTAAACCCTAAACACTAAATCCTAAACACTAAACCCTAAACACTAAACCCTAAACCCTGAACCCTAAAGCCCCAAACCCTTAACCCTAAACCCTTGACCATACACCCCTAAACCCTAAACCCAGTTGGATCATCTACCCTTAGACCCTGCATGGCCTCTGCAAGTCCACCGGGACCCAGCCTCGGAAAGTCGCACTGCGAAGGTTAAGGTTTCAGGCTTCTAAGGGTTAATTTAGGGTGTAGAGGTCTGGGTAATCTGGCCTTAGGATGTAAAATTCCAGGGCTAACAGTGTAGCATCTCTTGCACTTCATTTGGCTACAGCATGAAGGAAATGTTTTTGCAAACGATGCTGCAGGGAGAGAGCACGCGCGTTCTCTTGGGGTTATGCTGCGAACATGTCTGGAGTCTATCCAGGCTACCATCCTGCTTCAAGAGAAGTTCCTGTGATCGGATACTCGAATATTGTTGGTGCCAATGCGGTAAGCCTTTTGCAGGAATATCCCAGCTACGGGCCTGATACGTTAGCAACCATCTACCTACCCTTTTACGCTGCTACAAGAGTGCGCCACCGGCATGTAAAAACTCCTTGCAGAATTGTCACCATGAACAAGCCCCACCCCTCAAGGAACCGAAATACAACCAAGCCCTGAACTGAAAGCTCTCCCTGATGTATACCATGCACCTAAATAAGTGTGTCTAAGATTAGGGGATATCCTCATGTACACTGTTTCACCCAAAGCCAATCATCCTCATCCTACGGCCCCCCAAAAGGACCCCAACTTCTGGAAAGCCTCGGATGTCTGCATCGAGAATTCAGAGGCCCTGGCAACTCGTCGTACTTCTTCTGCAGCTTGTCGAACAGGCTCAGAAGCTTATCGTACCTTCAATCTAGTTTGAGATGCCATGTGAGGTCATGCAAATGCTATAATGTTTGGCAATATTATCCCCGTTCTATCTGGATTCCAAGAAATTTTGATGTACCCCCGAAACCGATCGCACTTAACTACGCCCCTAGGTCAGGATCGTGCCCTTGTGGCTTGGGATTTAGAAGGCTTTGCTCCAGGCTCCTGGTTCTCAAGGGGGAGCGCGAGAACCAATACAACGACTGTTATGGGGAGTACACAGGCATCACGGCAAACCCTGAACCCTAAACGACACTCGGTAAGTATCCTTGCTTTTAGTGTGCAGGCTGCGAAGCGCACTTTACCTCCCAGGACTCCGCGACCAGTTCGATCTCGTTCTTCAGAGATGTCACTAGCCGGTCTCGGGTGCGTACGAGTACCTGGCAAAGGGTTGCGGGGTTGGGGGTTAGAATTGCGCATGGCATGATGATTTGGCAGTCGAGGGTCTGTTGGTCATATAAACACTCCCCATGTGGCATCATTCCATCCTTGCGAGCTTATGTTGGAGAAACGAGTACGTCATGAGGCCTCTGCAAAATATGAAGAGGATGCTGCCGTCCGTTTTGAGGGTCTACGAGGAAATGCTACTGAAAAGAGTTATGGACATGCATGTGTTCCTGACAGTTCTTGATGCGCACATCAGATATCCCAAATTGTCGCGGAGATGCTTAGGGTTTACAGCTTGGGGCTTAGGGTTTAGGGTTTAGGATTTAGAGTTTAGGTCCGTCGAAAGCCACATAGGATCCTTATCAACACAAAGCCGGATGGAACAGGACGCGTCAACTCTGGAAAACCTGGCCTCAGCACCACAACCTAAACCCTAAACCCTAAACCCTACATCATGAACACTGAAGAGTCAAGGCTTAGAGCTTGGGTTTGGGGGTTGAGGGTAGTTTAGGGTTTAGGGGCCACTCAGGGATGAAGGTACAGCAACCCCGAACCCAGAAAGCCCCAACTTTCAACCCAATTTGCATGGGAGTCTCAAAACTAACGGTCCCCCTTGCACCCCCACTCACAAACCATAATGTAGACCCATGCTTAATAAACCTCCTCCTTTTAAGGGCCTAAATATTAGGATCCCTACTATAATCCCTACTGAGGGGAGGGGGTTTATTGATCAGGGGTCTACATTATAATCCTTACCTATTATTTGGGCCCAAGAGGGAGCCCGAATTTCTGGGGATCCTCTGATGTCTGCATCTAAGCCCCACCACACCCGAAACCCTAAACTTGAATCCCTACACTATAAACCCTGAAACCCCAAAAATAAGCTTTTCATGTTCTTTGCCCTTCTGCCACTACAATACAAACTTTAGACCCCATTGCATAAGTCCCCACCGCGGCCTCAAGCTCTCGTTCCTTGCTTTCCCAGGTGACACGAGCTTTGTCGAACTGAGCCCGCACCTTTTCATGAGATATGCATGGCAGGTTACATGTCGACCGGATTTTGGGACAGTCAGATGATAATACAGGTCGAGAGAAACCTTACCAGTACCCCTATTAACAACTGTTAGGGGTGGCGGCAGTACCAAGCTATGCAAGACTTTCTCTATGGTGAAAAGGCGTGTGAGGAACGCGCGGGAGTCAGTTTGCATGGCTGCGAAGCTTGTAGGATTCACAGGTTGTTTCCACTCTTTGCTTTGAGGTGACGTTTTTGGTTCAAAAGCGTGTTAGGATCTACGCCACGCAAATTGCTTCCATGCTCTGAGCCGACCAAACACGACCCGAACCCCTAGACCCTAACCCCTACACCCTTTGACTGTAAACCTTAAGCCAGAGATGGGATAGGCTAGTTTCTAGGCATGCTTGTGCTTAAACGCGGAAGGATCGCTGCTGAAAAATCAATGCCTATCAAAACTGCGACCGTTGTATGGTATGTATAGAAAACCTATCTCTTCAGAAACAGTTGACTCTTAACCCCCAAAAGCAGGCGTGTTAGTAAAGGTACCGCTAGACTCTACTAGTAGCCCTGGTAAAACCTATGAGCCCTAAAAAAACACATGGGGGTTGTCCAATATTC